TTTCTCAAAGGGTTCTGCTCAAAACTGCCCCACGGGGCAAAAAAATGAAATAAAATTTAAACAAGAGTTTGGTGCGTGGAAGTAAATGGACTAGAATCTTGATACGAGATACTGTTTGTACTTTAAAAAATCGGAGAATAGCGGTAACCGCTTGGAGGATTTTCTGTAAAATGGAATTTGGAGATGTGAGCATTTTTCTTCCATCTGACCCAACATCCAAGATCGAGATCTCTAATATTTTTATACCCTGGATATTTATGGCAGTATTTTAAAAAAATTCTCTTAGAACTAAATTGTGAAATAATGGAATGGAGGTAGTGTTGGGCTGCTGCCGGTTCAGACTGGTTCGGGCGAATCGATAATTGTGACACGGCGCTATATCGTCCTATTTAGCTGGATTTTGTAAGCCACGTGCATGCATGCAGGCGCCCACGTGAGCAAAGTGCATGCGCAGAAGGTCACCCGCATGCGCGCTCACATTTTCGGTGCTGGGGCGAACCGGTTGTTAATTCATGGGCCGCCCACCTCTGAGTGGAGGTTTGGCTAATGGCAAAATATGGAGTGAGATCCTCTTCCCACACTTAGTATTTATTTATTTGATTTTTATCCACCTCTATTACTTTAGGTAGTAAAGGTAGTCCTTGACTTACAACATTTCCTTTAGTGACTGTTCGAAGTTACAGCATCACTGAAAAAAGTGACGTAGGACCATTTTTCACACTTAAAACCATTGCAGCATCCCCAGGGTCACGTGATCAAAATTCAGAAGCTTTGGGAACTGACTCATATTTATGACGGTTGCAGTGTCCCCGGGTTCATATGGTCGCTTTTGCAACCTTCTGACAAGAGAAAAGTTAATGGGGAAGTCCAACTCAGCTAAAAACCATTTTATTATCAACCGCAATGATTTACTTAACAACTCTGACAAACAAAGAGCAGTAACTCTTATTATTATTATTGAGTCTGATCCTGAAAATATTGCAACAGTTCAAATCCTGCATTCTCTTCTCTTGGCCTCCACTCTCTAAAGCAGTGTTTCTCAACCTTGGAAGCTTGAAGATGGGTGGACTTCAATTCCCAGAATCCCCCAGCCAGCGTTGCTGGCTGGGGGATTCTGGGAATTGAAGTCCACCCATCTTCAAGCTTCCAAGGTTGAGAAACACTGCTCTAAAGAGTTGGTGTCTGTTGATTAAAACAGGAATTCAGGTTTCCTGACTTCCCAGCTGGACTGGACTAACTCTGAGCCAACCAGGGCTCCTTGCTTAATCTCATCTCCTTGACCCTTTCCAGGTGGACACCCAGCCTGGCATCTTACCACACTGCAAGCTGTGGCCATCGGAGGAAGAGAGCAGTTGATCCAGCGCAGCCCATCACCGTAAGGATTTCCTGCCGTACAGTAAAATCTCCCTAGCGGGTATATATATATATATATTTCCCCTCTGACACTGAAAATAACAGTTGACTGAGACGATCGGTAACAAAACAAGGAAATAGGCTTGAAATAAGGTATTCAGGCCAGCTAAATAAATAAATAAATAAATAAATAAATGAATGAATGAATGAATGAATGAATGAATGAATGAATGAATGAATGAATGAATGAATGAATAAAACAAGCGATTCAGCCAGCAGTGAGCTATAATACGATAAAATCAGGATGACAGCATGGAAGATCTACATCAGGGGTGTCCAATCGTGGCAATTTTATGACCTGTGGCTGGCTGGGGAATTCTGGGAGTTGAAGTCCACACGTCTTAAAAGTGGCCAACTTTTGGACATCTCTGGTCTACCTCTCTGCTTGCAAGAAAACTCCAATCTGTATTTTTGAAGCCACGTTCAAAGCCATAAATCTGTAGAGATTCTCCGTCAGCCAGGTCATAGTTGTCTCAAAGGTGCTTTTTTCAAGAGGCAACTGGACTTTCTGGTTTGTTTTTTTCTTTTTGAAGACCTTTCGCTTCTCATCTAAGAAGCTTCTTCAGCTCTGATTGAATTCTATTCTCCACTGTCCTGTCAAAGCTGAAGAAGCTTCTTGGGACATTCAAAGCAACAAGTACATGTGTTAATTTAATTAATTTAATTTAATTTAATTTAATTTAATTTAATATTTAAATTTATATACCGCCCTTCTTCTGAAGGACTCAGGGCGGTGAACAGCCATAGGTAAAAAACATAGAATACAAAATTTAAAAACAATTTAAATATATATTAAACAATTTGTCCCGACAGTTAAAATCCCCCATTTAAAATTACTGCAGGTTAGAATCTTGCCAAGGCTCAAGGTTGACTCAGCCATCCATCCTTTTTAAGGTAGGTAAATTGAGGACCCGGATTTTGGGGGCAATAAGCTGACTTTGTATAAATATACAAAAGGATGAAGGCTATTGCTGAGCACATTGTAAGCCGCCCTGAGTCTCCGGAGAAGGGCGGCATATAAATCAAATTAAAAAAAAAAAAAAATTAAAATTAAAATTACACCATTGGAGAGTTAGGCCAGCCAGGCTTGATGAAATAAAAAAATTTTGAGGGCCCAATGGAAAGTATGTAGATCTGGAATCGTCCGTATCTCTGGGGGGAGCTCTAGTTTTTAAATTGGGATATTTAAATTTATTGGGGTTTTAAATCTGAGCCACTTTATTTAATTATTTTAAATTTTATATTGTTGTTTTGTTTGTGTTTTTAAACAGGCTGTACACCGCCCTGAGTCCTTCGGGAGAAGGGCGGTATAGAAATAAAATTATTATTATTATTATTATTATTATTATTATTATTATTATTATTATTATTATTCCAGAGAGTAGGTGCCCCCACAGAGAAGGCCCTCCCCCTGGGGGCCGCCAGTCGACATTGTTTGGCCGACGGCACCCTGAGGAGCCCCTCTCTGTGGAAGCGTACTGACCGGTGGGAGGCTCTCGGTGACAGAAGGCGGTCTCGTAAATATCCAGGTCCTAAACCATGGAGCGCTCTAAAGGTGGTCACCAACATCTCGAATCACACCCGGAGGACCACCGGGAGCCAGTGCAGCTCATGCAGGAGAGGTGTTACATGGGAGCGCCATGACGCTCCCATAATCACCCGCGCGGCCGCACTCTGGACCAGTTAAAATTGAGGCCAGATAAACATGGCTGGAAAACTCGCAAGGAGACCACAGAGAACACTGTTATTAAATTACCTCAAAAATTTGGGTTTTCCTGGTCCAAATTCCCTGGAACCAGAAGCTATTAGAATTTGGTAACCCAATTGATGAGATCCACCATCATTTTTCTAAGGCCCCTTTTAAAATTGCCAGAACAGATAAAGATTAATACTACTCAATGGCCCATAGGTCAAATATTATGTTTCTATTTAAGATGTCCAGCTTCAGCGGATTAATGAATAAACCCACATTCTGGGTTTATTCTGTATCATAATATGATAATATCCCATCTGTCGAGGAGTATGACCTCAGTGGAAATTTGCAAAAGCCACTCCCTAGACCAGTGTGTTTCAAACTTGGCAACTTTAAGATGGTTGGACTTCAACTCCCAGAATTCCCCCAGGAAGCATTCTTTAATATGAGTGAACTTCAACTCCCAGAATTCCCCAGGAATGACTCTTTAATATGACTGGACTTCAACTCCCAGAATTCCCCCAGGAAGCATTCTTTAATATGAGTGGACTTCAACTCCCAGAATTCCCCCCAGGAAGCATTCTTTAATATGAGTGGACTTCAACTCCCAGAATTACCCAGGAATGACTCTTTAATATGACTGGACTTCAACTCCCAGAATTCCCCCAGGAAGCATTCTTTAATATGAGTGGACTTCAACTCCCAGAATCCCCCCAGGAAGCATTCTTTAATATGAGTGGACTTCAACTCCCAGAATTCCCCAGGAAGGATTCTTTAATATGAGTGGACTTCAACTCCCAGAATTCCCCCAGGAAGGATTCTTTAATATGAGTGGACTTCAACTCCCAGAATTCCCCAGGAAGGATTCTTTAATATGAGTGGACTTCAACTCCCAGAATCCCCCAGGAAGGATTCTTTAATATGAGTGGACTTCAACTCCCAGAAATTCCCCAGGAAGGATTCTTTAATATGAGTGGACTTCAACTCCCAGAATTCCCCAGGAATTGTTTTTTTTTAAAATATGAATGGACTTCAACTCCCAGAATTCCACAGGCAGCTCAACAACTTTAAATTTCTCAATGGGAATTCTGGGAGTTGAAGTCCATCCATCTTAAACTCAACCAAAAAAAACCACTGACCAAGACGAAAGGAGTAAAAATGCCTTGGCTAGTTTTTAGAACTATTCTTCCGTTAACCAAGATGATATAAAACGGTGATGGTGAACCTTTTTGGCATCGAGTGCCCAAACCGTAATGTGCGTGCATGCGTGTGCATGCCAGAGCACTGGAAACCTGAAGATTAGCTGGCCGGTGCACGCATGCCAGTTTTTGGCTAGTTTTGGCCATTTTTCAGGCTGTTTTTCCACCCATTTTCAGGCTGTTATTCGGGCCGTTTTTCTAGCCAATTTCTGGCCTGAAAAAAATTATTTATTTATTTATTACATGTATTTATATGCCGCCATTCTCCCGAAGGACTCAGGGCGGCGAACACAAGTTAAGAAACAAGTACAATAAAATCATAATTTAATCCAAATAATTAATTAGTAGTCAATAATAAAGCCTGGGAAAAAATGGCCCAAAACAGCCCAAAAAAGTCCCAAAAACGTCCTGAAAACAGCCCAAAAACTGGCCTGTTTTTGGGCTGTTTTTAAGCCATTTCTGGCGCCCACGAAGACCATCAAGAAGAGCAGCTGGTCTGCATGCCATCACGGGTATAAAATGACCCATCTGTTTATTCCCTTTTTTTTTTTTTGTAGAAATAACAAGCCCAGCCTAGACTCTCTTATCTCCCTGGACTGCTTCTCCATGTAAGGATGTGGGCTTGCGTTATCTTGCTGGAGACGCAGCCAAGAACAAACAAAGGGAAGTGATGAAGAATTGCACAGGGATAAGAAGAGGGGGGGAAGGAAAAACAAATCTTTTATTTTTAAGCCCGCAGAATAAGGAAATAACATTTCGACGGTGACCTCATAGATCGGGCGAGAGAGGCCAGTTCGTCTTGCAACCGTCCTCTCCTCTCTTTTTTTTTTTCCCAGCTCTTCCGACTCCGGATCCAAAGGGAATCTGGCCACGGTTTTCCCCCGACAAACAACGCCTGATTCCAAAGCAGAAGCTTTAATGAGAAGCTCATGAAGTCTCCTGCTTTTGAGTCAGACGCCTTCGTCGGATTAAAGCACTACCAAACTCCTGTCCTTTCCACCATCCCGAATCCACTCGACTGTCCCTACACAAAACCCCAGTTCTCCCCACCCCAAAAAAAATCCCTCGCTCAACAGCTGGAAGATTCGGGGAAACTGCTTTGGAGAAGGTTGCCGAAGTAACGTTCGGAGCTGAAGTTTCAAGACTTGTCCTTTCAAAAGAGAGATTGGAGACTCCCCACAATCCGGAAGAGGGTTGGCCTTCTTCCCTGTCCTTGCTCCTCAGGCTCCAGCCACGCTCCCCGGAACAGGTGAAGGTCTCTCTTGAAGTCCAATCAAAGTCCGTGGCAGGGTTTTGTAGTCCCTCCAGGGCAGCCCTGAGCCCTTGCTGCAATTGATAGCATCTTTCAACCTGCTCGGTCTCCTCCGAGTCCGGATCACAGAGCCCCTCTTTGCACCGTCATATTCCATGACCCCAAACCGTCCCGCTCAGGAAGACAAAATCCGAGGTCCGGATCTCCCTCTGGCTGGCCTTCTCCGACAGACAGCCGCTCTGGGCTCACCTCCGTAGCATCTTCACCTGGTTTCCACCTCTGGCCTTCGAACAGCTGTTCCCAGCAAGCTCCCTCCGGCTTCCCTACAACAGAAAGAGGAGAAAAAGCTTGAGTAGCCTCTTCCATAGAGTCAGCCCGCCGGACATTCCTACACCGTCCTCTGGGCTCCAGACTTGGGGGGGTGGGGGGTAGGAGAGGGGGAGGGAGTCCAACCTTCTATTAATCTCAACGATAGACTTGCTTATTTTAAATGTTTATTGGTTTTCAATAAACAAAGTCGTAATTTGGTTGGTCGTAAGTGGAACATCTATATAAATGATGTAGATAGACAGAAATAGAGCGATATTAGAGAGATAAATAGAAAGATAGAAAGAAAGAAAGACAGACAGATAAAGATAAAATAGGTAAATGGGTGGATGGATGGGTGAGAGAGAGAGAGAGAGAGAGAGAAGATATAGATAAGAAGATAAGATAAGTAGATGGGTGGATGGATGGGTGGGTGAGAGAGAGAGAGAGAGAGAAAGATAAGATAAGATTTATTTAGTTAGTTAGTTCAATTTATATGCCGCCTTTCTCTGCGGCTAAAATAAGATGATAAGACAAGATGATAAGACAAGGTAAGGTAAGACAAGGTAAGACAAGACAAGGTAAGACAAGACGGACAAGACAAGACAAGATAGGTGGAATGATGGATAGATAGGTGGGTGGGAGAGATGTAGAGAGAAAAAGAAAAGAGATAAAGAGACAGAGACGGAAAGACACAGGAGCGAGATAGATAGATAGAGAGTGGATAGAGAGACATAGATAGAGGCAGAGAGATGGAAATAATGAGGCAGAGAGAGTAGGTGAAGTGAGAGTAGATGGATGGAGAGATTGGATGGATGAATGGATAGATAGATAAATCAGAGAGAGAGAGAGAGAGATGTAGAGAGAGAAAGAAGAGAGAGAAAGAGACAAAGAGAGATAAGGAAAGAGAGATGAATGAATAGAGGAGAGAGACAGAGAGTAGGTGGAATGAGAGGTAGTAGATGGATGGAGAGAATGGATGAATGAGTGGGTGGGTGGGTGGATGGATGGATGGATGGATGGATGGATGGACGGATCAACAAATCCACTTAAACCCCCAGGAGTTGACTGGAACATCATGGAAACTTCACCTTATCTGTTTTGAGGGCATATACACCAACCTGAGATGGGGAAAATTTGAGGAGGAAAATGGGCTGGTGGCAGTTTTGCTAACAACCCTCATCTGCCATCGTGGGTCCAGCTGGGTGGGAAGGGGGGAAAGCAATCCCTAGTTTTCTACAGCGATGTCCCTCAACCTTGTGAACTTAGTTCAACAGGTTGAGAAACACTTCTTCTGCAGAAACATCACGGGCAGGTTCGTGCAGCATGTTCAGCCTAGATCAACAAATTAGAATTCCGACATAAAATATAAATAAAGGGATGAACCAGAAGCTTTCCACCTTTGGAGTTGGCTTAGACCCCGTAGAAACCCAGCCCATCCGGTCCGAAGATTTTGGCAAGGAAGGCTTATAATATCCAGATGCCTCCCTGAGATGGAAAATTCTGCAAATCTTGAACGCAGAGGGATTGAGTTCCCACATCGCCCTAAATCCTGGGGGTTCATGAGAACCTCTAGCTAAGATTCTGTGCAGTTCAGAGAACCCTCAAATCCCACTCCTGGCTGGCCCCGCCCACCCCACCCCACCCCTCCCAGGAGTCCCCATGTGGCCTGTTTTAGATGCAGGTAAGTGCAGGGTGTGCGTGGAGGCTCAGGGAGGGCACAAAATGGGCCTACTAGAAGTTTGGGAAGGACAGAAACGGGCCTGTTTCTAGCCTCCAGATGGCCTCCAGAGCCTGGGGAGGCTGTTTTTGCCCTCCCGGAGACTCAAAGAAGAACTCTGGAGCCCGGGAGGGCAAAAATGCCCTCCCCACCCCCCGCCATGGTGCAGGAGGCCGATTAGGCCACACCCACCATGGCCACGCCCACCCAGCAACCGGGCAGAGAACCCCTTGCTAACATTTTTGAAGCCCACCTCTGCCTAAATCTATATGTGCTTTTCCCACTTATACCAATGTTGTGGCTCCGTTACCAGAGCCTGTGTCATCGGCAGGAGAGGACTCCGAGAGTGAAGGAGAGGAGTTGGCAAGGCCTCCCTCTCCAGGACCCTCCTCTCTGGCAATGCCTTCGGTGTCCACCGAAGGGCAAGAGATAGGGCTGGGGCCAAGCACGTCCACGCAGCCACAGGTGGACAGTGATGAGGGTAATGAGTCTTGGCTGGATCCATGCCAGCGTCGCAGAAATAAGCGCATGCAACAGGAAAAAAGGCGTGCCCGAGATTAGGCTGAGTCACTGGACCACACCCCACAGGATATAAAAGGGAGCGTGGTGGCCAGTCAAACCTTGTGACGAACAAAGCTGAAAGCTTCCACGCCATTCTGCATTGCCGGACTTTTTGCTATAGACTTTGCTGGATTATCTCTGGACTTGATTAACTCCGTAATTATTGAGCTGTTTCTTTTGATGTATCAGAAGTGGGGAGAAGTTATCTCTCCTCTTCGTAAATAATAAACTCTTGGCAGGCAGCCACTAGGTTGTTGCCCAGTTCAGTTATCATAAGGAAAAGGATTTTGCCGGCTAGTTTGGTCTTTAACTCCTGAACATCCGTTGGTGTGTGTGCGTGTGGTTGGGGACAGAACAACTAGTCTGTTGGGTGCATCCAGCACATGTAATATAATGTGTAAATCCAGGTCACAGTGGCTTACGCAAATCGCTATTAAAGCACAATTTATCTAAACGCAAAGAAAGGATTCAGCTGATGAATTCTGTCCAACCACCGCAGCTTATCAATTATTCCATCTTCGTATCTTGAATCTGTTCATTACATTGTCCTACAATTAACCAAGCGATGCTTATGGCAGGATTTGCATGGACTTCAACTCCCAGAATCCCCCAGGGCTTGGAAGCAAAGCCAGTATCTTTTAGGCGGTGTTCAGAAAACATGCTTACAGGTAGTCCTCCAGATATGACTATAACTGAACCCCCTCAATTACATTAATACATTTTGATGGTTGTAAGGTGTCACCATCTGATTGGACCACATTTTATTACAATTTTTTTTTTTGGCAGCAGTTGTTAAGAGAATGCAGCAATTACGGCTAGTCCTCCATTTATGACTGCAATTTGGAACACAATTTCCATTGCTAAGCAAAGCAGTTGTTAAATTGCACCCCAACTTGAAAACGCCCAGTATTGTAGCACCCACAACTCCAGGAGGAAAGCTCTTCCATGGATGAATTATTCTCACTGTCAGGAAATCCCTCCAGATTTCCAGATGGGATCTCCCTCTGATCAGCTTCCTCTTAACAAACTGCATCCCTGTTTGGCTTGGTGGCCGCAGTGCCTCCGATAGAAAGTCCATACAGAGAGTGGTGAGGACAGTGGAGAAGATTATAGGAAGCTCACTTCCTGTTATTCAGGATACTGCTTATAAGTGCCATAGGCTTAGAGCTCGAAGCATCGTTAGAGACCCCACACGCCCACTTCACAGTCTGCGGCATGATAGCAGTATTCCAGTAATTGAGGGGCTGCCACAAAGAAGAGGGGGGTCAAATTATTCTCCAAAGCACCGGAGGGCAAGACAAGAAACAATGGTTGGAAACTAATCAAAGAGAGAAGCAACCTGGAATTAAGGAGAAACTTCCTAACAGGGAGGACAATTAATCAGTGGAACAGCTTGCCACCAGAAATTGTGGGTGCTCCATCTCGGGAGGCTTTTAAGAAGAGACTACTAGACAGTCACTTATCTGAAATAGTATAGGTTCTCCTGCTTGACTGGGGGGTGGACTAGAAGACCTCCAAAGACCCTTCCACCTCATTCATTCTAAAAGAGATGTCGGGGTTTAATGGAAAAAGACTTGGAGGAAAAAAAATTGGAACTTGGATGCTATACATGTTGATGGCGAAAAGACTATTCTACACACAGAAATAAAAGGACATTTTGATCCCCGCCATGGACGGATGGCTGCAAAAATGGATGGGGTTAGATGAGATGGCTAAATTGACTGCTTTGATGAAGGGGGAAAAAGAAATTCCTTTATTTCTACTTGGAAACCGTTCCTGGGCTTTGTGCTTGAGGTGGGGGGGGGAAATGAAACGTTGATTTTGGGTTTTACCGATTAGCTGGATTTGTTGTTATGGACATGGCTAGTTTAAACTATTATGTAAAAGTAAAAAGTTGAGCTTTGATGTTAATGCCTTATTCTACTGTACCAAAGAGAGTCGGAAGTCAGTGTCTTTTCTTTCTTTTTTCCCTTCTTCCTTCCCTCACTTTTCTCTTCCCTTTATCCTTCCCTGTTTTCCCCATTATTTGAGACTCTAGAAAGAGTGCAGAGAAGAGCAAGAAAGATGATTAGGGGACTGGAGACTAAAAGATATGAAGAACAGTTGCAGGAACTGGGTATGTCTAGTTTAATGAAAAGAAGGACCAGGGGAGATATGATAGCAGTCCTCCAACATTGGAGAGGGTGCCATAAAGAAGAGGGAGTCAAGCTATTCTCCAAAGCACCTGAAGGCAGGAGAAGAAGCAACGGGTGGAAACTCATCAAGGAGAGAAGCAACTTAGAACTAAGGAGAAATTTTCTGACTGTTAGAACAATCAATCAGTGGAACAACTTGCCACCAGAAGTTGTGAATGCTCCAACACTGGAGGTTTTTAAGAAGAGATTGGTAACCATTTGTCTGAAGTGGTGCCTAAGCAAAGGGTTGGACTAGAAGACCTCCAAGGTCCCTTCCAACTCTGTTATTCTATTCTATTCTATTCTATTCTATTCTATTCTATTCTATTCTATTCATTCCAGTATTCTATTCTATTCCATTCCAATATTCTATTCTATTCTATTCTATTCTATTCTATTCTATTCTATTCTATTCTATTCTATTCTATTCATTCCAGTATTCTATTCTATTCTATTCTATTCAATTCTATTCTATTCTATTCTATTCATTCCAGTATTCTATTCTATTCATTCCAGTATTCTATTCTATTCTATTCTATTCTATCTATTCTATTCTATTCTA